ATTTCAGAGTTAAATTTTGGCAAAATAAGGAGAGGAAAGAGAAAAGGGGCGATGCTGGAAAGAGTTTAGAATGCCCCCCCCCAAATGCTGCTGCTTTTCTGGCCGTCACAGAGCAGATGGGAGTCGAACGTGCTCCTCTTTGAGAAAGATTAGAGTAAAATGGACACTTCTGTCACTTTCAGGAGGCGGGACAGAGAGGTGAAAATATACAAGACAATGGCCTCTGGCGCTGGAGGGCTCCCCACCCTTTGCCCCATCCCTCTCGGAACACTCCTTACCTTTGTTGCTGGGATTTGATCTGACACACTGGATGTCCCTGGACTAGGTTCTCTGAGAGGAAAAAGACCACGAGAATCAACCGGTCTCCTGCATCTACTCCGAAGCCAAGAAGCATTACAACAAAATTTACAGCGCCTTTAACAATTCGCAAGTAAAGCATTAAAATTCTCTTTAATTGAGAAAATATTGATTTTTTTTAAGTCTAGAAAAGGCGAAATCGTAATTTAGCTGCAAACTTTCAGGCGAGAATATAGCGTATTATGTTGCCGTATTATGGATCCACCCTTTATACCCATGCAACATCACATCTTTAATTGTGCTACTTTATGAAGTGATAAAGACAAAAGATAACCCGACTTAAGCAAAGGCTAAACAAAAAAGAGAGGACCTAGAGTAATTTCCTTTTCCAGTTATTTATAAAAGAATTGTCTATTTTTTTTGAAGCAGAAAAAAAAAATGCCCAAAAGGGAAGAAAGAAATAAAAAGAACGGAAAACCACAGACCAATCTAAAAGAAACTCACATTAACAAATCCGTTGATATTCTTTAGCAAAGGAGGAATGAAGCCAATGCATTCTGAGAAAATGCATTCACGGACAAAATTGCATCCTCCTTTAAACGAAACAAACCTGGGTCTATTTTCTTACTTTACTCCCAGTCCTTTTGGGGGTGGGGGGGCAGAATCTATTGGTGGATAGGAAAGGGAGAGAAAATCAGGCTTTCTATGTTATTTCTGTATCGGTTTTTGGTATTATAGAGGAGTAAAGAAGTTTTTGTGTGGTGGTTTTTCATTGATCAGTCACTCTGAGCTAATGTAATTATCCTCATCAATAGGAGGCTGCAGAGAGAATCATTATGTGGGTGACATTGATAAATGATCGCCCAGGAACGGCCCTCTCGCGGGCAACCCCCACATCTGACCCTCCCACACACACAATGTAGTCATAGAAACACCTAGAGAACCCCGAGCACCGCCGCGAAGGGGCAAGAGAGGGAAGAAAAGCCCCGGGCGGCCGAGGTGGGGGTGGGGGCGATTGGGGGCGACCAGTCCCAGATCCAAACCAGTTGCAACGACAAAAACAGCCAACCGCGGGGAGAGAGGCGGGCGTTGCGGGTGGGAGAATCCCGCTTCCCGGCAGCAAACCCTCCCACAGTTGCTCACAACAAAGTGAAAATCCGCCCTCCAGACGGACCCATTCCTCCACACCTTTTCCCATGTGCGACCTCACTACCAACAACATCTGATGTTTGCCGAGACACACATTCAAATAGGTTTCTCCAAAGGAGTTAAATAATTAGGTTACTAAACCTGTAGGCATCTCATTCTCACGCGGGTTCCCCCGTTCAAAAAAACCCCAAACAAACAACAAACCAAACCCATCTGAACAAAGGCAGCAGCTGGGTGACACCCCCCCTCCAGCATTCTCCTCTCCCCCACCAGCATCCCCCCCCCCCAGCTATTTACTGGGCGACCCCTTCCTTTCTCTACACCTCCTAACTCGGTGCCTCTGATTATGAGATAATGGATTTTGCGATTGTTCCTGTCAGGAGGGAAAAAAAAAAAACAAAAAACACCGAACCCCATGTTTTCATCTTTTGACTGTTTTATTTAAGCCAATGGGAAAGTATTGAGAGCAATAATTGATTCATAATGATCTATAAATCGATGTCGGAAAGCGGGGGTGGGGGTGGGAGTGGAGGTGTATGAAGAGTAAGGGGGGGATGCTGTTTATTTATTTTATTTCTAAAGCTTCAACTAAAGTAGCTTTGACACAGTTGGGGCTGGAGGGGAGGAGCTGTTGGGCTCTGCTGGATCATCCATCATCGCTGTCACCCAGAGTCTGCCCCGAGGAGCCGTAGACGCAATCTCCCTTCTGTCTCTACACCGAAACTATTAATATTAAAACCTCCCTTCAAACACTGCCCCGACGGTCTCCATTCTCATCACAGTCTGACCGGCCTCCCCCATCAGACCTGCATTTCGCCCTCCCCGCGCACCGCGGCTTCCTCCCAGCCCCGGCCCAACGGAGGGAGCTCGACGACGCGTGCGACACCCCGAGTTGATTACTGAGACTGTTAGGTGCCCCCCTTCCAGCCCCCACCCCACCCCCCATCAATTTGAAGCACGTTGGGCTACCTCTAACACCACGCAAAGGGAAGGCCAGGTGAGGGCAGGGGCAGCCGGCGCGGAGGCGGAGAGCCTCCCCACGCCCGCTGCCCTTGCCGGGGTTCAGCCTCCTCCCAGCCTCGGGGCGCGCGCACGTCGGCACCAACCCTGCTCGGTGGGCGGCGGCCCGCAGCGATTGCGGAGCGAGGGGACTCGGCACATCCAGACATCGGCCCTTCTAACACAGTGGCAACTTGCAGCAGAGGCCCAGGCTCCTTATCAAATTGCTGGCCTGCAAGACTAATGGGGAACTTGTGGGGATCCCAGTCTAGTCCCTTTGAAGGAAGGGCCCTCCTCTGACAGCTGTTAGAGATATTAGCCACATTTCCCTTCCCAAACCTGCTCCGGGTTAACAGGCCCACGGGGCGGGAGGGGCGAGGAGGCCAGGACTCTTTCCTGGAGTCCTCTCTTCTTGGCCAATCTAACTACGGTGAGGTGGGGGTGGGGGTGGGGGTGGGGGGCTGGCGCGGACCTGGAAGTGCTGACCTGGGTGGTGGGAGGGAGAAGAGGTGGTTGGAAGACACAGACTTTCCTGGTCTTTTCTTTTTCCGTTTAAATGTGGCTTCTTGCTCAATTCCCAACCCTTAACAGATGGCGACTGCAGTTCTCTCAGAATTTCTTAAAGAAAGGGAAACCTTTGGAATTTATTTCTGCTTTTGCTTTTCCATATAAATAAAAAGTGTTTTTATGTTACTCTTGTTTTGGAGAACATAAGCAATTTTATTCAGACTACAGTATTTCCTTTAACACTATATGGTTGTCAAAACACCATTCCCAGTTTCTTTGCTTTTGACAGCTGAGTCTTTCTTAAATATACCCAAATCGGAACTCTTTATACTAAATAGTAAACCCGAGATAGGAGCAAATGCCTTCTGAGGTGGTATAAAAAAAGCATTATAAAAATTGGACAACTCTACTACCTCTTGGTCTTAGCATATGGGGTGGGGGCAAGAAAATGCAAACAAATATTATTACAATTATTATCTACAAATGTTGAAGAAGGTTAAGGTTAACAGGATTTGTTTAAGGAGATGATTTTATTCATTAAACCAAGGGTAGAGAGTTTTGAGATCTCAACTTTGACGAAATAGCTTAATAATAATTTCATTAAGCACGTCCTAAACATGAACCCTTACCAAGTAAACTCTGCAGCATGTCCTTTACTGAGAGGAAAGGAAGAAAAACTTTTCCTTTTTTTTCCCAGCGAATGTGAGTTAATTTGTAAATGCAGAACTTTACCTAAAAGCATTTAAAGTAAAAATATACAAATACTTAGATTTTGCAAAAAGACTCCACATGCGTGGGGATAACAAAAGTGAGGGGGAAGCTCTTTTCCAAGTGGCGTAGAATTCTCCGTTAACAATCAACAGTTTGTGTCAGAAGTGTTACTTCTACATTGAAAAAGCAGCCTATCAATTAAGCTGATAAATGTGTTTATAAAAAAATCTACCTAACTAAAAATAATACAAAAACAATAGAAATTTGTTTCCTTGTTTCTTTATATACAACTTTCCTTCATATTTTCTGCAATGGGAAGATGGCAGAAGTCCAAGTAAGATACAAACTTGGATATCTGAGCTGGTGAACTATTTCCCTATCAAGCTGACATCACAGAACTAGTTTTATGATACTATCTCTTCTACACATAGGATTAAAAATGTAGGTGTTTCAAAATTCCAGGAAAAGTATATTTATTTTAGAAATTGAGGGGGCATGCAAATACACACACTTTTTTTTTTCCACTTTGCGCACTATCAGGCATTGTACAGTACCAGCAAGCCAGTAACACAGATTTCTAGGAATGTTGTGTGATACTTTGAAAATGGCATCATATTGCCTGTTTTGCTGCTGTTTTAGAAAAAAATTTACGTTTAGTCACCCAACTCCTCACACTAGCATGTCTGCACGTGGAGGTGTCTGAAATAAAAAGACCTCATAATAAAATTTATATTAAATATTAATGATTAAGTAATGTTTTCAACTCAGGATTTCAAACTTCGTAGAAGTTGTTTACTCATCTATGAACATCTATATGTAAATTTTAATTTACATATTCAACAGCATTTTAGTAAGTAAGACAGAAAAAACACAGGCAGATGAATTATCTTTGAGCACAGACGTTAGTTATTTCTTATGATGTAAAATTAACCCTAAAAAAGCCCTTTATTCTGGCAGAGGATGAACATGAAAAGCTTTATCTGAAAGTATTTTTTTCCAACATCATGCATCTAAAAAGGAGTTTAGACATATTGAATGAAGGTAATCTTTCAACTTGGCTCATCTCACGGATACACACACACACACACACACACACACACACACACACACACAATTTCATACCTTTAGAAGTTTTCCGCTGGTGGAATTTATAAGCCAAAAATATACACTACCCGCTACAGAAGGTTACCTTAAAAACTGTCAGTAAATTTCAAATATGGCCAACTTCTGGGGGGCAAAACCACCACCTACTTGTAACACCGTATATATAGCAGGCACTGTGCAACCTTGCCTTAAAACTATGAAAAACACACAAAAGAAAAGCCTAACAAAAAATC